CTGGTCGTTCAGGGAGAGAGAAGTGGCGAGGATGTGAGAGGGGCCAGTCGAAGAAGAAGAAGAAGAGCCTGCGGCGGGAGGGACCGTTGTTGTTGAAGAGGGGACGAGTGGGGGATGGATGGGACGCGAGTGAGAGGATACAGGAGTCGGTGTAAGAGAGGTTGATGAATCGATCAGATTAGCACCGACATTCGTATTTATATTGGTCGTTGTCGTTGTCGTGGTGGCTGAGGAAGAAGAGAGAGAGGCTGAAGAAGAAGAAGAAGAGGGTACCGGGGAGACGGGCATGATGAGCCGGGCAATCGACTGCTTTTGTTTTTGGTTCAACAGCCGCGAGGAGGAGGAGAGGGGCGATTGAAGCGGCTGTCGTCGTTGGCTGACTGAAGCCGTAGAAGCATGAGAGTCACGTTTGCTCGTTTTGGTATACTCGTTGTTGTCGGCGTCAGAAGCAGCAGGAGGAGTAATAGTCGTGGTTGGCGGAGGTCTGGTTAAGGTCGAGGGGTCTTCAGATCGGTCGGTGCTCTGTTTTGTTTTATACACACACACATATATATATGAAAATAAGAGATCAGTCCTCCCGAACAAGAAAACAAACTGGACGTGTTTTTTACAATCACACATACCTTAACTGCAGATGATGATGATTGGATAGCACCGCCGAGTTGGATCTTAACCAACCTCCCTAAAGCGCCGACGATTTCTTCCCGAGATTGGACATTAAGCTGAGCACCAGGAGGAGCGAGACTATCTGGATCGGTTGGAGGTATGATATTCTTGTTTGGTTGTTCTTGAGAGGGAGATAGACTGTGGTGATTAGGAGAGGTAGCCCATTCGGTCAAGTCAGGCAGCTGGTCTTCTTCGGCATCAGATTGACGCGCCGCTTCGACCAAGCTAGCCCAATCGAGCTTGCTGTTTTCTGTGGATGATGATAATGGGGATGTTGATGTTGTTGTTGTTGTTGTTGTTGCTGCTGCTGCTTCTGGTGATGGTGATGCTGATGGTTGATCGAGCGGAGTAGTAGTAGTTGTTGTTGGTGTAGTTGTTGTAGTTGTTGTTGATGAGGATGAAGAAGATGAGGAGAGGTTGACGATGACTGAGGAGGGAGGCTGAGGAGGAGTCGAGAGAGGTGACTTATTATTACTGAATGAATGAGTGTGTTTGCTGGGAGGGATTTTTGGATCTGGTAGTGGTTCTACTGAGATTTGTTCTGTTGGTAGTTCTTGCAGTTCTTGTGGTGAGAAGATCTGTTTTGTTGGTGATGGTGGTGGTTTTGGTTTGGGTGCATGGATGGATGGGAATGGGTTCTCCTTCTCGAGTGTTGATTTTCTTAGTCTGTTGAGTAGGTCATCGAATCGATCGAGTCCTGGTGAGTTTTTCTAATGGAGAGTGTTAGTTACTTGGTTGAGGATGTTTTTTTTGTTGTGCTTACACTCATGATGATAGTCTGTTGCTGTTGCTGTTGTTGTGGTTTTCTTCCTCTTCTTCTGTTGTTGTTGTTGTTGTTGTTTGTCGTTTTCTCCATTCTTATTATGAGTGAGTGAGTGAGTGAGTGTGTTGGTAGGTTGATAGTTTTCTTCTGGCTGGGGTGGGGCTGTTGACCATCTATGTACCCTTCCCTTCCCCCCGGGGGGATAAACTCAGCCCCCCCTTGCTCAGCCTGTATGCGTGCATCAGCCAAGACCCTTCGAGAACACCCAAGAAGAACACGGTCACTCCACTCTTCACTAAAACATTTGCCAAGAATATTTACATAATACATACCATTAAAAGAAAAAAAAAAAAAAAATTATCTTATCTTTCAATCAAGAGATATCCACTGCTCATTGTTCTTGTGATCATCAGACTTGATCATGTAATCTTAAATCAAAGGATATCATTAAGCCATCATTTTGAATAACAACCTTGCACCTTTCATTTCCCCTTGCAAAACTCTTTCTCTCTCTCTCTCTCTGTATGAAATCTAATCACAACACCTTGACATAGGAAATCATCATCCGGTTTTGGGGTCCAACTTGCTGATCCATAATTATATCAAAAATTTTAATTAGTGTTTGCATTGCTCTCTAGTCAAGCTCTAAAAAATCAACTGTTGTGTATATGCCAATTTTCATTCAAAGCATCAAAAAAAAAGAAAAACATCTTACATCTAGAGACTCCATAAAAACCAAATAAACACAATGTAAAACTGGAATTTAGTTGGTTGTTGTTTTTTTTTCCTCATACCAAAGATGTGATCCGAAAAGAAAACGCTCACAATCCTTTCCTCTATTGACTCTGAATTATGTACCCAATATGGGATTGAAAACTCAATTTGGGTGATTTTTGGGACATGATAAAGATGTAAAC